GGTGGCAGCCACTCGATGTGTCCCTTCACGTCGATGTTTCTCTCTCTCTCTCCCTTCCTCTCTCTCCCTCCCACTCTATCTGCACAAAAAATGGAAAAAATATCCTCGGGTGAGGATTAAAAAAAATAAAAAATAAAAAATAAAAAAACTCAACAAGGACCTGAAGAGACACTTATTCAAACAGGACATAGAAATGGCCAGGAGACATACAAAAAAAAAAAAAAAAATGCTCAACATCACTAATCATCAGAGAGATGCAAAATAAAACAACTATGATATATCACCTCACACCTGTCAGAATGGCCGCCATCAACAAATCATCAAACAACAAGTGTTGGCGAGGGTGTGGAGAAAAGGGGACTCTAGTACACTGCTGGTGGGAATGCAGACTGGTGCAGCCACTATGGAAAACAGTATGGTGTTTCCTCAAAAAATTAAAAATTGAACTGCCATTTGATCCAGTGATCCCAGTTCTTGGAATATATCCTAAGAAGCCTGAAACACCAATCAGAAATATATGTAGCCCTATGTTCATAGCAACACTATTTACAATAGCTAAGATCTGGAAACAGCCCAAGTGTCCATCAGTAGATGAATGGATAAAAAAGCTGTGGTACATGTACACAATGGAGTACTATGCAGCTGTAAGAAAAAGATCTCTTATCCTTTGAGATGACATAGAGGGACCGGGAGGGTATTATGCTGAGTGAAATAAGCCAGTCAGAGAAAGACAAGTATCATATGATCTCACTTATTTGTGGAACATAGTGAACAAAATAAACTGTTGACAAAAAGAGACCTAGAATCAAGAAGTAGGGAACAGACTGACAAACCTCAGAGGATGGTGGCTGGGAGGAAGGGGAGGAGATAAACCAAAGAACTTATATGCACAAGCAATGGACAAGGACAGTAGGCTAGTGAAGGCAGGATGGGCAGGAGGGGGATCAGGAAGAAGGGGGTCAATTTGGAAAAAAGGGGGATATCTGTAATACTTTTAACAATAAAATACTAAATAAATAAATAAAAATATTTATGACTTCCAAAAAGAAGAAATATTTCATTGCTTGCTTCTGCATTTCTTCCATGAAAGGGAAAGTTATTCTGTTTGTTATTTATCTTCTTTCCTGAATTGTCTGTGTCCTTTGCCTTTTTGCTCTCTATAGAAATGTGTCCTGTTTTCCCACTGTTGCTGAAGAAGAAAATAAATGCTTTGAATGTTCTTCGCTCCACCCTGGATGGTGAATGTGCCCACAAGACCCTGCCTGCACCACGTCTGGGTGTCTGTGAGGGACTGCAGCGGAGGCCACAGCCGGGTGTCTGGGGAGGCCCTGGTGGGAGGGTGAAGGGTGTGGGCTGCAGACTGCTCACGAATCTAACAACCACGCTTTTATAGTCTCTGTGTCGGATGCTTTAACACCCTGGGGCTTTGCTGACTCTGCGGGGGCTGCCCCTCCCAGGGCCAGCTGATTCCCAGAGACAGCAAAGACCTGGCCTGAGAGAGTACCTTGCACGTGCAAACCAACCAGCCCACAGCCCTGCACCCCAAACTCCTATACAGGGCTCTCACCCTGAGTGTCATTAGTCCCGTCCTAATCACGCAGGGGCCAGACACCACACAACTAGGAGAAATCCCCGTCCCAGAGCTACTGACGTCACTCACTCAGCCAGTCCTAAGCAGCCTACCCTCCTCACCCTCCTTTCCCAGGGAAACCGGGAGAAAGGCTCCTGCCCACACCCCGCCCCCCCCCCCCGCCCCGCTCGCCCTGCCGCTGTCCCAGATGCCCCTGGCGTGGAGTCCGCCCTCCCCTTGATCGGAGAGCACGGTAAACTATCTTCCCAAGGGTGGCCGTCTCCTGATGGCATGGCCACCCCTAAATAATAATAAAACCCATATTTTAATGCAATAAGCACCGCACATTCAGCAGTGCCGGGAAACACTTCACTGAGGACACCGAGCTGCGCCTAGCCCGCCTCTGGCCTCCTGGCCCCAGTGCCTGTGCTCTGAGCTCTCCTTTCCCACCCTCCCTACCCTCTGCCACCGTCTCAGCCACTGGTGCCTCTACAGAGACCTTTCTGACCCCCAGCCCCTCCAGCCACCACCCAGTTCTCTACCTCTCGTAGTCAAACTTCTTGGAGGACCCATCTGCACACTGGCCATTCCGGTTCACGCCGGCCACTCCGGTTCACACCAACTGCCCACTCCGGTTCACACCAACTGCCCACTCCGGTTCACACCAACCACTCTGGTTCACACTGACCACTCCAGTTCTCGCCGACTGGCCACTCCGGTTCATGCTGGCCACTCTGGTTCACGCTGACTCGCTTCTGGAATGAAGCTTTCTTGACACTGCTCACCAAGATTGTCAAGGACACCCTGTGGCCAAACTCAATCAACATTTCCCTATCTAGCTCACCTCTAGAGAAATGCTTTACAAAATATTAGTTTTTGAACAAACCTTACTCCATTTCTCAGCAGTTTCTACGTTCTTGGAACAGTGTTCTTTCAGCTTTCGAACACGGGTGGGAGACTTGATCCCCACAATCTTACAGTGTTACTGAGTGTCTCTGGGGCAAACACTGCCCAGTGCTTGTACATCCACCCCTCACACAATGAAACCAGGGGCGGAGAAGACTGGTTCAGAGAGGGTGAGGCAGTTCCCCAGTTTGCACAGCCAGCTAGTGCTCTATCCGTACGAAAGCTCAGATGTCACCACGGGTTCCCCAGCGGTGCATTGTGCTCAGCCAGGGAAGAGACTTACGGGAGTCAATCCTCTTAGGAGCTGAGAGAGCAAAGTGTCTTGAAAAGTTGCTCAAACAGAACACAGAGGCTTTTTGTGGGTTGTGTGTGTTGGGAGGGGCAGAGGTGAGCCAGGGAGGAAGACCCTCCCAACCAAGGAGCACCACCTGGCCACCTACCTATTCCGCTCACCCCACCTGCACCCCCACTTCCTGAAGCCCCATCACACCTGAGGAGGCTGCAGGGGTCACACATGCTCTAGCTCGTTACCCGTTGAGGACTCTGTCCCCGGGATTTTGTCCTACAGCCCGTGGGCCCTTCAGCCAGAAGCCACGTGGGCTGAGGCTGAGGCAGGTGAGCCTTGCGTCACGTCCTGACACTTACACCTGCCCCTGTGCGGCCACCTGGCTCAGGTGGGCTCCAGCTCCCAGGCTGTTCCCTGCTTCACCTGGACAGGAGCGGGCCAGGTTTGGGGTGGGGTGGGAGCCGGCCTGAAGGGGCACGGGCAGCCTCTGCAGCCATGGCAGGTGGACAGCGGAGAGGCCCGGAGGGTCTGGGGGGCCTCAGTTGCTAAGATAACACACCCTCCCCTTTCCCAAGAGAAGGTCTGTTATCACCTCCTGGGACAAACGTCACAGGTGAGCAGCGTCCGTGGTCAGCTGAATAAGAACCCTCAATAAGTCTGTGGCCCAACCCCCAGAACCTGTGAAGGTTACCCCACAAAGGGACTTTGCGTTTGAGGCGGCCAGGGTCTGAGAGGAGGAGGTGTGCAGGCCCGGACATCATGGGTGCTCACAGGCAGGCGGAGGCCCTGGGGTCAGAGGAAGGAGATGCGGGGATGGAGACAAGAGGTCAGAGGGAGTCGAGAGAAACCACGAGCCAAGGAATGCAGGCAGCACCCGAAGCTAGGACAAGGCCCTGGAGGGACTCAGCCCGAGGGGCCGACCTGGTGACTGCTGACCAGCTGGCGAAGCTGTCTCATTTCTGGCCTCCAGAGCTGAGAGGGAATACATCTGGGTTGTTGTGAGCCACTAAATGTGTGGCAATTTGTCAGAGCGGTGATAGGAAACACAGAGTTTAATTTGGGTCTGGGGACAACTGTCCACACCTTTCCCTTTGGGGATGTGGACTGGCACGGAGTCCACTGTGTCCGTGCGCACTCGGGGCATCCGCTGGGCCCCAGCAGAGAGCTGGGCTGGGGTGCTGTGGGGGGATGCAGGCCAGTTCTCCCAGGGCTCACACCCCAGCAGGCAGTGGACAAGCACCCAGCAAAGTCACCTGCTTCCACGCACCTCCAGGCGGAGCTCCGGAGGACAGAAAGGACACGGCCGCAGGGCCTGGGGAGGAGAGGGTAGTGTGTGTGCCTCTCAGCAGAGGAAACTACCGTGGAGAGTTTGACTTGTTCAAAGAACAGGCTGGAGCCTAGAAAGGGGGAGGCATGGGGGCGGAGGAGAACCGCAGAGCCAGAACCTTCTGGGCCTGGAAGGCATCGTACGCAGAACAGATGTATCCCAGAACAACGAGGGGCCATCCGAGGTCTGGGGCAGGCCGTGTGGTGGCCTGTGCTGCAGCTTCCTCGGCGGTCCCCTCAGCAGCCTGTGCAGGGTAGGTGTGGGAGGGGACGGCCAGAGGGACAGAGTGCAGCCCAGGTAGAGACTGCCGCCCCCAGCACGGAGGGGGCTGTCACAGGGATTGGTGACGTTACTTTTACCCCCGCAGGAGAAGGAAGGGATTGATGCCGCAGAGGTGGGGTCGCTTCCTGAAATGTGGGAGAGAGAGGACCAGTTTGGGCTGGGCTCTCTCTGCAGAAATGCAGCGTGAGCCATCAATTCACCTCTCTGGAAAGAGTGGGCGGAACTCTGGACCCGCAGCTGTGGGCTGAGGTCCCTGGGACCCTGTCTCGGGGGCTGTCTGGCTGTGTGGTCCTGGCCGGTTGCTTAGCCTCTGCGTTCCCGTTCCCTCGCCTGCGAAGGGGGACCATGCAACCCGCTCCCGCGAAGCTGAGAACCAGCTGATGTCCGCCTGCCCCGGCGGCGGCCGCCCAGGGCTGTGACCTCCCTCAGCCCTCCGACTCCAGGCCGGCAGCCCTTCCCACAAGCCCAGCCAGGAAAGACAGGCGGTGAGTGCAACAGCAGAAGACACGCAGAGGCCTGTATTCTCCGGCCTCCACCACCCCCACAGCGAAACATAACTTTGTCGGAGCAGGTCCCTCAGACGACGCCAGGGCCTGGAAACGGCGCCTTCCCTCCCGGAGCTGCAGCAGCTACAGCTCCACCTTCACTCCCGGCCTCTTCCTCCTCCCTGGGGGTCCCTTTGGCTTGGCCCCCTCCCCCTCCTCCTCAGCAGCTGCCTCCTGCCCGGGCTCTTCCAGCCTGGTCACATTCCCCAGCTCAGGCGACTTCTGTTCAGGTAACTCCTGCTTCGCCAATGCCTCCTCTCCGACCTCTTCACTTGGCTCAACAGACGATAGCTGTCCAAGGGGGGAGCGGGAGGGGAGGATGCAGAAATAAAGAGACAATAAATGTGTGTCATTGTGATGGTCATTGCCAAGCCCTCTTTCCCTGGAATCATCCAAAGAGAGTCACCTGGACAATCCCAGTGGCTACAATGGTCCATTTGATTGGGTGGGGAAGTGCCCAAGGGTGGTTTGGCCCCTCCGGTAAGAGGATCCTTGGGGAACTGCCCTCCTAAGTCCACAGGTGTGGCTGCCCTGTGAGTAGCCCCGGGACTAGGCTAGTGACCCAGGCCTCGCTATGAGGTCCTGTCCAGGGCATTTGTCAGGACTGCTGCAGAGCAGGAGCTGTCTGAGCTGGGAGGACACGGGCAGGGCCACGGGCAGTCTTGGGCCCTCCTGGAACTGACTGCTTCAGAATGGAGTCAACATCAAGGACACAGAGGAGGGGACACAGAACCAGTGTGAACTTCTGGGCCGAGCGAGGTCTGATGTTCTGCCAGTTGTGTGGGACACATGCCCAGTGCTGTTTAAGCCAGAGAGGAGTGTTTCTGACGCCGCGCCGGAAGGGGTCCTGACTGAGACAGCGCAGTCAGGACATGGCCTCACTGAGGCATGGATGGAGGAGGACAGAACGGGTGTTGTCACCCCACTGCCCAGAGAGCAGGGTTTCACCAAGACTCTGGTCACCTGGTCAGGAACAGTAGACGCAGGGAAGCAACCTCAGGAGCTAGGGGAGACCTTGGAGCCTTTGCCCTTCCCGTGTTCCCAACGTCTGCCACTCTGTTCTGTTGTAGCAAGTACCCTTGAAGTCAAGTCATCAAAACCCGATGGCTGTTTATCCTCAACTATCTCCGGAGAGAGCACGAGTGTGGGACCCTGGGCACACACGTTCCCAGCCGTGAGTTCTTTGTTCCGAGGCACCGCTGCTCCGCCCTACCTCAGCTGCATCCTGCAGCCTGGTCTGGATCTGACTCTCCAGGAAATCAGAAAAGCCCCTCACGGTGTGCTCTCCCTTATACGGCACTGCCTAGGAAGGACACAAAACGCAGTCAGAACAGCACCTCTTCCTGCACAATACCCAGAGGTCGCTACCTAGACAGATCCAGGCTCCCAGTCCTGACCACCTGAGCGCGATGGGTGGGCTCCTCGCCTCCCTGGGCCTCCATTGCCATGGCTTTAAGATAAAGACCTCTCGGAGCATGGGCCGCGGCCACAGTCAGAGCTGACGCCCTTGCTGCATCACGCAGCAGTGTGGTCTGGTTGCCTGACCTCTCTGCCCCAGTGTCCTCGCCTATGATATGAAGATCATAATGGTACCTATCTGAGAGTGTTGTTAGAAGGATTTAATGAGTTACTGTATTAAAGGCATCGAAGCCCGGCCCGTGTGGTTCAGTAATTGAGCATTTACCCAGGCACCGAGAGGTCACTGGTTCGATTCCCAGTCAGGGCACATGCCCAGGTTGTGGGCCCGATCCCCAGGGGGGGACCTGCAGGAGGCGGCCAATCAATGTTCTCTCTCATCGATGTTTCTATCTCTCTCCTTCTCCCTTACTCTCTCTCTAAAATCAATGAAGAAAAAAATTTAAAAAGACCATTTAGAACAGTGCTGGACTCAGAGTGAGCACTGTATGTATTTGGTATCGTCATTATTACAAGAAGAACAGTTGTTATTTTACAGAGCATCTGGTACGTTTCTTGCGCAGCCATCAGAACTTCCCTTGTCTCCTCCAGTCTCCAAGAAGATTGGGAAGCTGCTCCCTGCCCACTGGCTGTCCAAGCCGCTCGTCCGGTAAAGGCAGATCTGGGACAGGTCAGCCCTCGGATCCAGCCTCCCTTTCAGGCTGCCCACAGGCCCCTTCCGCCCAGGAGCAGGGTGCGTCCTTTGTGGGGCTGTGACCACCTCCTTCCTGTGCCCCACCTCTAGTTCCCATCCCTCTCCTGATCTGGTTCAGGTCCTGACAGTTCTCTGAAACCCCGTGTTCGCAAGAGGCTTCCACCCAGTCTGCCCTCCAGGACCTGTCCTCTCCAACCCAGGTCCTGACTGCCCCCACACTCAGTCACACTCTTCTGGGGAGCCAGAACCCTGGCTTGTCATTCTGTGAACAACCCCGTTCCACTAGGCCAAGCACATGCAGAGTGTGTTCCGTGGACACTGATGACATTCGCTGACCGTCAAAGACATCGACTGTTTCCTGTCGCGTGTTCTTCCTTCCTCCGGAGCCCTGCCCACAGTTGCCACGTGGCAATTCCTCCCACGTCGTCTGGACACCAGAGGGAACATGAAACCGGGCCTGACACCCACATCCGGGCCACAGGGACTGGGTCAGGAGTGAGCAGACAACTTAGCTGACCCAACGACAGTGAGTCCGGGACTGTTGTGGGGCAAGTGGAAGACACTCTAAATGGAACAGGAGAGCATGACCGGCCCACACTGAGCAGGAGGCTGTTTGGGAGAAGGCGCGACTGGAACGAGGGGAAGTGCATTCAGGACAATAACAGGACCAGACCCTCTGTGCCCAGGGCCCAGGAGCCCCTCACCGGCTGCGAGTTGGTGGGGAAGAGCCTGAAGAAGGGGTAGCGGCCCTGGTCCGTCAGCGGGACGTCGTTTGCTGTGATGTCGATCTTGGCGATGGTGAGCGTGGAGTGGTTCTGGTACCTGAGGCCCAGCTCCTCCAGCACGGGGAACAGCGCCCGGCACACTGCACTCCACGGTGCATCTGCAGAAGAGGGCCCGGCTCAGCCTCACACCCAAGACTCGGAAGAGCCCCCGGACACAGGCTCTGGGTTCTAACCATGGTTCTGCGGCTCAGAAACGGGCACCCTCTTTCCTTCAACAGGGTGCACGGTCATCTTAGATCTCAGGCATACCGCCTGACCGCAGTTAAAACCCTTAGAGAAATGTCAGCTTGTCCCTTCCACCCGACACCCGCGCGTTCGCCACGGTGGGAGATCTCTGTTCTCGGTTTCCTTTCAACGAGCTGTGCATTCCAGTGGGATTCCTGCTCTCCCCGAAAGTGTGTGTGTGTGTGTGTGTGCACAGAGCCTTCCTAGCCCAAGGTCCCCTGTTGTGTGTGTGCGTGTGTGTGAGCACAGAGCCTTCCTAGCCCGAGGTCCCCCCGTTGTGTGTGTATGTGTGTGTGTATGTACGTGTGTGTGTGTGAGAGCACAGAGCCTTCCTAGCCCGAGGTCCCCCCGTTGTGTGTGTATGTGTGTGTGTATGTACGTGTGTATGTGTGAGAGCACAGAGCCTTCCTAGCCCGAGGTCCCCCCGTTGTGTGTGTATGTGTGTGTGTATGTATGTGTGTGTGTGTGTGAGCACAGAGCCTTCCTAGCCCGAGGTCCCCCCGTTGTGTGTGTATGTGTGTGTGTATGTATGTGTGTGTGTGTGTGTGCACAGAGCCTTCCTAGCCCAAGGTCCCCTGTTGTGTGTGTGCGTGTGTGTGAGCACAGAGCCTTCCTAGCCCGAGGTCCCCCCGTTGTGTGTGTATGTGTGTGTGTATGTATGTGTGTGTGTGTGTGAGCACAGAGCCTTCCTAGCCCAAGGTCCCCCGTTAATTGTGTGTGTGTGTGTGTGTGTGTGTGTGAGATCACAGAGCCTTCCTAGCCCGAGGTCCCCGTTAATTGTGTGTGCGTGTGTGTGAGCACAGGGCCTTCCTAGCCCGAGGTCCCCGTTAATTGTGTGTGTGTGTGTGTGAGCACAGAGCCTTCCTAGCCCGAGGTTCCCCGTTGTGTGTGTGTGTGTGTGTGTGTATGTGTGTGTGTGTGTGTGAGCACAGAGCCTTCCTAGCCCGAGGTCCCCCGTTGTGTGTGTATGTGTGTGTGTGTGTATGTGTGTGTGTGTGTGAGCACAGAGCCTTCCTAGCCCGAGGTCCCCCGTTAAGTGTGTGTGTGTGTGTGAGCACAGAGCCTTCCTAGCCCGAGGTCCCCCGTTAAGTGTGTGTGTGTGTGTGAGCACAGAGCCTTCCCAGCCCGAGGTCCCCTGTTAAGTGTGTGTGTGTGTGTGAGCACAGAGCCTTCCCAGCCCGAGGTCCCCCGTTAAGTGTGTGTGTGTGTGTGAGCACAGAGCCTTCCCAGCCCGAGGTCCCCTGTTAAGTGTGTGTGTGTGTGTGAGCACAGAGCCTTCCTAGCCCGAGGTCCCCCGTTAATTGTGTGTGTGTGTGTGAGCACAGAGCCTTCCTAGCCCGAGGTCCCCCGTTAAGTGTGTGTGTGTGTGTGAGCACAGAGCCTTCCCAGCCCGAGGTCCCCCGTTAATTGTGTGTGTATGTGTGTGTGTGAGCACAGAGCCTTCCCAGCCTGAGGCCCCCCACTGACTAAGCAGAGGAAGCACTGTGCACAGGCGGCTGCTGTGACGCGTGACCATTGGCACACCGCCTTCCAGTCCGCTGGAGCTGACTGCCCAAAAATCGACCCAAAGTCGTGATCAGTACATCTACCCTGAGGAGGGTACACCGGACTCCTCATAAACAGGTCACTGAGCTCTGAGTCTGGTCCAGCCCTCTGCAGAGGACTTGGGGACCAGCTTCAAGGCGGAGGGGTGATCGGACCTTGCCTTCTCTCCTCCATGAAGGTTCTCTCCTCTGTGTGAGCCGTCCTCAGTGGCCCGGACGCTCTGCGTTCGCATGTCACCCCTCCATGTACGAGCCAGTGCCCACAGGGCCACCCGCTCTCAGCAGCGCCCTGCAGGCCCCTGGGCCCCGGGCTCCGGGTTGGAGCCGGAAGGAGCAGAAGCCGACAGGCCCAGGGGCCAATCTAGCAGCCCTGCTTCCAAGAAAAGGAGGCTGCTTGGCCCTTCACCAGAGCCAGGTGGTCATGCTCAGAGCTCCGCGTGTAGGAAGCACAGAAGGGCCGCCAGCCTCTCATCTGAAGGCAGCAGACGGCGGGCATTCAGCCGCACAGACGTAAACTCCTCACCTGTGGACGCGAGTCCATTTGCACGAGATTTTCAAGGCCATCCGGCTTTGCCTCACCCTCCAGGGAGGGACGGCTCCAGAGCTCCTTTGAACGTTCTGCCACGACTCACGGTGTGACCTGGGGCCAGGCACCGTCCCTCTCTGAGGTTGGGCTCCCTGATCTGTGCCCTGGGGGACCCAGCGAACCTTCCTAACAGGCTTGTTTGAGGAGGAAATGACAACAAGTGTGTAAACAGCAAAGCTCTGGCCTGGCTCACTGTTAAGTGCTCGATAAATGGAAAGTCCGGCAAATGAGAGACTGTATGAAGCAACGGCACTGTTACCCCTCTCTGTGTCAGGGTGGGAGAGAAGGTGTCTGGGTGCCCCTGAAAGTCAGAAACAGGAAATGGCAGTAGTCCTTAGAGGAGCATGGGAAATAATTACAACAAAAGGAATAGAGCAGCAGTAATAACTTAGCTGTCGAGTGCTACAATGTGCCAGACACTCTGCTAAGTCCTTGACGTGTGTGATGTATGAGTGGCCCACCAACTCGGGTAGGCTAAGTGTGGGCCCTGCGACCCGTCGCACAGAGCCAGACCCGCTGCCCGCAGGCAGGACCAGCTCGGCACGGCTGTCAGGCTGCCGCGGCCTCGGCCCCAGCCCCCGTCCAGCACTGACCAGCTGTCTGGCTTTGGGAAACGTCTTCACCTCCCGGGTCTCTGTTTAGCCATCTGCCAAGCGGGAGCACGAGCAGCAGCGGCCTCCAGGGGCGTGCTGTGGGGTCAGCATGCACAGAAGCCACGTACGGGATGCGGACGGTAGGCACACATCCCGGGAATTCAGTCTGGGGGCACAGTGGCAATGTTAGCTGCGAGCATCTTGCTCCAAACTCTGGGTGTCCGCAGACCATCCCGCATGCTCTTAGATCGCCACTGGAGAGTCTGGTGCCCAGGAACTGAGGAACGGCACTTGAAACGTAGCATGAGTGCCGAGCCCCCCGTGGCCCCTGTGGAGATACTTACAGAACATCACAAAAACGTCCCTTTCCTTGTCAAAGACGACGAGGTGGAAGTTCTTCCCAACGAGCTGCTTAACTGGCCCCTGGTCCCAATATTTTGGGACCTCTTCACTGGACTGGTGTTTCTAGGGAACAATTTGAGAGGTGTGACGGTCTCCAGAAGAGGACTGGCAGCCACCACCACCCCCCTCCCCGACTGGGACAACGGAACACTGGCTCTTGTTCTGACAAGACCCTTGGGGGAGAGCGTGTGCTGCTGAGGTCATCATGAGCTTGATGTCAGCTGCAGTGTCCATGGCAAACGGGGTCAGAGGGCGAGGAGACGGCCAGGCTCCAGACTGGGATGGAGTCTAGCATTTCAAAGACAGATTCTTGGAAATTTTAGATGAGAGCTAGGTTTATGTCTTTAATATCTTGAGAGACTGTTCCCCCCACAAAATATCAGCTGTCGCCAATTACACCAAGAGTTCAAAGCAGGATGATTGGCGTGACCTGTGTTATCTGACTTGGTTCCTGCAGCCTCTCCACGCCCAACAACCACCCTCCTCTGCCTGCTGCACACATACTGGTCTTCCCGTCCTCCCACCGCAGGCCTTCGCGTTGCTGTTCTGCCTGGAGAGCCCCCCTCCAGCTGGTTAACTCGGACGTATGCTTCGGGACAACTTCAAGGGGAAGGTTCCCTGACTTTCCCCAAGACTGTCTCAGCGGCCACACGTTCTCATGCCACTTGGTCGTGTTCCTTGCGTCACTTATTCAGTGTTACCGCTTACATTTACTTTTTGGTTATTTGACTCATGTGTCTCTACCACACTGGACAGAACAGCACAAGAGACATTTCTTTCTTCACTGAGTCCCACTGCTGGGTACAGAGCAGGACCTCAATAAATAGTTTGTGAGTGAATGAATGAAAGAACAAACCCAGCTCTTGCTTCTCTTTGAAGAAAGTGGTGTCAATCTCAGAACAGATTTTTTCTCTACAAACATTTCTTTCTGGGTAAGTCTTGAATCCACACCCGTCTCTCTGTCTGCACTGCTTCTCCCGGTCTAGTTGGCCATCATCACTGTCGTAGCCCTTCAGTGTCCTCTCCTCTCCTCCTAACCCTCCCCACCAGCAGGGCTCGGGTCCCACCATGCGCACCCGGCTCCCCACTGCTGCTAGGATAGCAGATCCTCAACAGGCTTGCAAGTCCTTGCTGTCCGGCCTTTGCCCAGCTCCACGGCCTCGTCTCCCACATGCCCTCCCTCACCCACACTCCAGCCTCCTTGAGATTCTTCCCAAAAGAGCATAGATGATGTGGGGACTGGGGATGGGAAATGATGAAAATAATGGAGAATTAATAATGGGCTGTGTCAGGCAGAGCTCACAGGTCCTATGAAGAATGTTCATCTCTAGGCCAAGGGCACAAGAGGACCTGTTGGCCCTCGACAAGGAGGCGGGCACCTCCTGAGATGTAACCGAGGGGAGGGAGAACGGGCAGAGCTCTAGGCAGGTCTGTAGACGTGAAGGTGAGCGATGAGAGGCCCCGACCTGAAACCTCGTCTCCTTAGCCATGTGCGTAGAGTGCTCAGTTGAGACTGAAGTGGGAGGGGGTGTGAGGAGGAACAGGGTCAGAGGCTCAGGGAATGAACACACTGAGACGTGTGGTGAGATGGCAGGATGCTAAGAGCTCGTGGTAAGCCTGGTGTATGATTCCGCGAAGCCAGCCTGCCTCACAGCGATGTTCTTTTCCCCAGCACTGGCCTGGAAGCAGTAGCAAAATTACGTGCCTTCAGCCAAGGTTGTGGTTTTGCCCTGTAAATACTTCAGCGTGTAGAAGAGGTAGAAGGTGGAGGGAATAAAAGAGTTAAAAGAATCATTGTCAGAGCAGTGCACCATGGAGTCCAAGTTCACAGAGGAGGGCACTAAAGAGATTGTGACATGGGATCAGGAGATTGGAAACAGTGAAAGAAATAAGGGACTGTAGCAATATGGGTACTGGAGAGGGGACTAAGAGGCTGGGACGCTCGAACCAGGCTCTCGGAGGGGCTGCCACAGAGCAGGCGGCTTCCGTGGCCCAGACACACAGTCATGGGAGGGGACACAGGGTGTTGGATCGTGACATCCCTGGAAATGGCGGCAGACCAGGGGTGGAAGGCAGGTCTGCAACGAGGAGCTGACGTCCTCAGAGAGTGAAGGGGAGGTGATCCGAGAACAATGGCAACAGGGAGCAGGAGCTGATTAAGTCCGAAGGCAAGATGGGATCCAAAGGATAGGGGGAGGGGTTCCTGAAGGGAGGAGGAGGAGAAATGATGCAGAAGTCGCATAGAGGACATCATTCTCACCACTTGGCCCATGATCATGTGCATAAGAGAAAAACAGCTTCCACTTGAGAAGACCACAGGGGAAGTAGTGTCTGTGGGGATATGGACAGAAGGTCATGGACAGAAGCCCTCAGAGCAAAGGTCACCATACATTCTGGTTGCCTGAGGAGTCACAGTTGATTCCTGTCATTCTAGAATACTTTTAAAGAATGCCTCCAATACTCTCAAAAGTGTCCTCAGTTAGGAAGTGAAGAGGATGGTCACCTAATTTGGCAGGGTGGTTGAGGATGTAGCAAGTGCTGCAGAAACAGCAGGTGACGTGGTCGTAGCAGGTGAGGCAGCCACCCTTTCACCTCCTCCCCTCCCTTTTAACAAAACAGAGGACCTTCTAACCCTCCAAATAAAAGGTCCCTGAAGCCCTTGAGGTTGAATCCTGATTTCTGAATACATTCCAGCCCATCGCCATCCCCAAAGCAAGAGTTTGTCCTTAGGCCAAGTAAACCTTTCACCCTGACAAGAGGGCATTAGCCCAGGGAGTGCCTCCATTTCTATTCAAAGTTCCTGCAAAGGAAATGCCTTTCCTTTAGGTATGAAGAACTAATAGTGGAGTTCCAGGGTCAGGGCAGACCGAGAGTTGCATAGAGGAGAAGTGGGGATATGGGAATAGTTCCCCACCTTGAACCTTTTGAGATGGACCCTTATTCTTCATCCCCATTCAGATGACCAAACCCAACAGAATCGGGCAAAGGAATGACTTTGGAGTTCTGGGTAGGCCTGGTCCACAAACTTACCTTGGCACTTCTACTCAGGAATCTGCGGCCAAAGTGCTTGAGGTTCTGGAAGGTTATGTTCTCAAAAGGCATTTTGTACCTTGCATCTGAACTTAAGTTCAGAATTTGGACAGAAGGGACATTGGCCTCTGTGATCTGGAAGTACTCGAAGATATGTCTGTTTTTGGGTTCATCTGCATCCACAAAGATGAAGAGGATCTGTCAAAGCAAGTAACACCTGTGTGTCTCTGGATTGGTGGCCATGAAGAAGGGAAGGAATTAAAGCTGGGATGAAATTCCTTACAGAGGAAGAGAAACTAGCAGGGCACTAATGGACTGCAGCAGCAGGGTCTGTGGAACCCCCCTGAGATTTAATAAAGGCTCCCTCTCATCAGACAGGTGCAGCCCTGCACCCTAGTGCACAGACAGGCACCAGCCACCGGCCCAGTATCTCTACCCACCATAGGAGGTCAGGGGTCCTGAGCTTTCACCCAGTTCCTTGGGCAGAACAGTAATTTCCCCTCTCTGCTCCAGTTTTATCTGTAAAGTGGTGATTATAATAGCTTTCACCTTATATGGTTGCTAGGAGAACAAAACAGGACAATGTCGTAAAGGCTGACGTCAGTGACTGAGAGGTAAAAATGCTCAATGCATGTCAACTTGTTATTATTCTAAATTATTCTTCTACCAAGGAAATTCATGATTTCACTCATTTATTCAACAAATATTTATTGAGCGCCTACTAGGCATGGAGCTTATGTTCTAGTGAAAAAATCAGACAACAAATGAGTAACAAGTCACCTGACCAGTGTGGCTCAGTGGTTGAGCATCAACCCATGTACCAGGCGGTCACCGGTTTGATTCCCTGTCATGGCACATGCCGAGATTATGGGCCAAATCCCCAGTGGGGAGCATGCAGGAGGTGGCCAATCAATATTCTCTCTCATCGATGTTTCTCTCTGTCTCTCTCTGTCTTTCTTTCTTTCTCTCTCCAAAATCAATAAAGAAAAAAAAAATTTTAATGAGTAAACAAGTTAATAAATCCAGAGGGAAAGCAATCAGATTGCGATCAATTTAATACATCAAAAATCTTACAGTTTAAAATGGAATAAACCAGGAAATATATTTACAAGCAGTGTTGCTGTGATTAGAGCATCATTCCTGGGAAATGGTGAGGTGAGATGAAGCATGAACAACTAAATAGTTTTATGACCTAGAGGCTCTAATCTGTGTTAATTTTAGGTTACAAAGTTTTTCATTGTTTTGTTTAAACTTCAGTCATTTTCTTTTTAAAAATGCCACTATTGTGCTTCTTGTAAAAATAAAGTGAAAAGTGAAGTAAATAGCTTCCATAGTCCAGGTGGTGGTAACTGCAGAAATATAGGTACAGAGCTTGGAGAAAACAGACTGGTTTCTAAGGGCGATAAGGACCACAATAATAGTAAGGACTGTTTATTGAACATTTGCTCATTGCTTTATATAAAGCACCTCTAATTCTCACCACAAAGCTCCATTTCACACATAGGGCGACAGAGGCTGAGAGGTTAAGAGACTCATCTAACAGAATCCACCTCTAAGAAGAAGGAAATTTGAGCCCCAGTCTGAGCAAAGCCTAGGAACTTAGCTACCTGCCAGACACTGTGCTGCTCCTGACCTCAGACAGAACTGGTCTGGCCTCCCTCTCACCGCCAGGCCAATACCCACACAGCTGTCATCCATTCTTAGAGGAGTGTGTCCATCAGAAAAGCAGCAGGACCATCATAGTAGACTTACCAAAAATGAGAGAAGGAGGAGCACATGTTTGGCAAGAGAGGAAGAGGCATGTAGAGGCTAAAAGGCATTTTATTAAACAATGAATGGGTTACCAAGAAGATTGAGGAAGAAATCAAAAAACTTCCTAGAAACAAACAAGAATAAATACACAACAACCCAAAATCTACGGCACAGCAAAAGCAGTCCTCAGAGGGAAGTTCATAGCATTATAGGCCTAACTCAAGAAGCACGAAAAAGCTCAAGGAAACAATCTAACCCTAAAAGAATTAGAGAAAAGAACAACAGGAAAAGCCCTTAGTAAAAGGAAGAAAATAATAAAGATCAGAGTGGAAATAAATGACATAGAGACTAAAATAAATAAATAAATAAATAAAATCAGACATGAAAGAGATGAAGTACACTGCTGGTGGGAATGCACACTGGTGCAGCCACTGTGGAAAGCAGTATGGAGTTACCTCAAAAAATTTAAAATGGAACTGCCGTTTGACCCAGAGATACCACTTCTGGGAATTTATCCATAGAATCCCAAGACACTATTTTGAAAGAATATATGTACCCCTATGTTCACTGCAGCATTATTTACAATAACCAAGAGTTGGAAGCAGTTCAAGTGTCCATCAGTACATGCATGAGTGGATAAGAAAGCTGTGGTACATCTACACAATGGAATACTACTCAGCCATAAAAAGTAAGAAATGTTTACCCTTTGCAACAGCCTGGATGAACCTGGAGAGCATTATGCTAAGTGAAATAAGCCAGTCAGAGAAAGACAAGTACCACATGATCTCACTCATCTGTGGAATTTTATGAACAAACTGAACTACCAAGAAAAACAGAGACAGACTCATAGATGGAACAAAGGCAGATAGCTCGGGGAGATGGGGGCGGTGCAGATATTGAGCAATAAAGAAAAAACGAGAGAACTCATGCACATAGACAACAGTGTGGTGGTTGTGTGGTGGGGGGTGGAAGTGGAAGAAGGCACAGAGGAGATAAATGGTGTTAAAAACAATTTCTTTTAAAGAAAAGACCAAGTAATAAAATTTAAGCAGTAATCAAAAAACTCCCAGCAAACAGAAGTCCTAGACCAGATGGTTTCACAGGTGAATTTTCCAAACATTCAAAGAAGAACCAACACCTATCCTCCTCAAACTGTTCCAAAAATTCAAGACCAGGGAAGACTTCCAAGCTCTTTTTATGGGGCCAGCATTATCTTAATTTCAAAACCAGATAAAAACACTAAAAAGAAAGAAAATTATAGGCCAATATCCCTGATGAACATAGATGATAAAATCCTCAAAAAATATTGGCAAACTGGATCCAGCAATTCATTAAAAAATACAGCATGACAAGTGGGATTTATTCTGGAGATACAAGGTTGGCACAATATTCACAAATCAATTAATGTGATACATCACATAAATAAAATAAAAGATAAAAATCACACGATCATTTCAACAGATACAGAAAAAGCATTTGATAAAATTCAGCACCCATTTATGATAAAAACTCTCACCAAAATGGATATAAAGGGACCATATCTCAACATAATAAAGACCATATATGAAAAACATACAGCCAACATCATACTCAATAGACAAAAACTAAAAGCAGCGTTATACACAACAGCCAAGATCTGGAAACAGCCCTAGTGCCCATCTGTAGAGGATTGGATAAAAAAACTGTGGTACATTTACATAGTGGAATATTATGAGGCTGTAAAAAGGAAGGAAATCCTACCTTTTTTGACAGCATTAATGGACCTGGAGATTATACTGCTAATGAAATAAGCCAGTCAGCCCTGGCCGGTTTGGCTCAGCGGTTAGAACATGGGCCTGCGGTCTGGAGAGACCCGGGTTCAGTTCCCGCTAAGGGCACGTACCTCGGTTGCAGTTTGTCCCCGGCCCTGGTGGGTTGTGCGGGTGGCACTCGATGTGTCCCTTTCACATCGATGTTTTTCTCTCTCTCTGTTCCTCTCTCTCCCTCCCACTCTACCTGAACAAAAAATGGAAAAATGTCCTTGGGTGAGGATGATAAAAAATAAATAAATAAGCCAGTCAGAGAAAGACAAATACCACATGATCTCATTTATATGTGGGATCTAATGAACATAAAAAACTGATGAACAAAATAGAACCAGAATCATGAATACAGGGAACAGACTCAGATGTCAGAGGGGGGGGAGGGGTACAAAGCGGGGGGGAGGGGGCAAGGATATCTGTAATAATGTCAACAATAAGATAAAGAAGATAAAAAAATTAAATAGTAAATAATACATTGCATTGTGATCCAAATCAGTAAACTAAAATGTAAATGAACATGCAAATCATTCCTGGCTTAATGTGTAATCATCATGGCAAGCAAATGGCATCAGGGCCTACAAGTCTCTGCTCCCCATCCAAGACCCCCAGAGAAGAATAGTGCCCTCGCAAACCTTGTTTTGAAACTCCTTCACGGCCAGCTTATAATGCTGCATTATCATAGCAAACGATCTGGCTCTCTTGGAGGCAAAAAGCAGCATGTGATTCATGACTTGCAGTTCATAAATGAGACCCTTATTCTGAAACGACAAAGAAAACCAGTCATCCACGCACACAGCAGCCCAGAGGCCCATCTCCTGGGGAGGCCTTTGCTCACTGACCTCAGTGTTGTATTCAATAACAAAACCTGTGAGGTGTGGCTTGATGACTTGATTCAGGACATTTTTGTTGGTGCTGTCATTAATAAGTTCCTGGCGGTTCACAATGTTTCCCTTGGACAAAAGAAGAAAAACATTGGAGGGCAATAACTTCCATGATGTAGGCACTTAATAAATATAAATAGCACAATTTTCCCCTTGGATAAAAAGAGAAAAGAAAAGACATCATGGAGGCAATGTAATCCAGTCACCTAGTTAACTTTGTAAATATGGAGAGCTGGGCAGATTGGCCTGTGGGCCCATGGGTATGTGGCAGCCATGAAAATCTCTGATCTGCAAAGGCAAGGAGTGTAATTGACTGACATCCCAGCTGCCTTGCTCTGAAATCCATCAATGCATCCCTACTGATGCTACGCAGTTTCTCACATACTGCTTCTAACCAATGACTGAAGCTGTCAGGGATACCATGGTGAGAACATTTCTGGGAGATGCAAGGTTTCTCTGCTAAGTGACTCTGATAAACTTTCTGTGAACTTCACTGTAGTCAGGGACTCTTTCTCCTTTCCTTTCTTCCCTCCTTCCTCCCTTCCTTCCTCCCTTTGTTCCTTTCTCCCTCCCTCTCTCTTCCTTCCTCCCTCCCTCCCTTCCTCCTTCCCTCCCTTCCTCCCTTCCTTCCTTCCTCCCTCTTCCCTCCCTCCCTCCCTTCCTCCCTCCCTTCCTTCCTCCCTCCCTCCCTCCCTCCCTCCCTTCCCTCCTTCCTTCCTTCCTTCCTTCCTTCCTTCCTTCCTTCCTTTCTTCCTAAGAGTCAGGTCTACATCATGGTCTTAATCCATGGTCCACACCTCAGCCAGAGTGATATGAGGGTGCAAGTCCGGTCATGTCATTCTCTCGCTTAAATACTTCACAGAGGCTGTTGTCCTTTGGATACAGTCCGAAGTCTTTTCTGGTCATAAAAATAATCTAATAATGCTAACTAGACTCGATGAGATCTCATGTTGTATGCCTAACTCATTTAATCCTCAAACGCCCAGTGAGCTATAGACTACTATTCTCCTACTTTGCAGATGAGGACATTGAGGCACAGAGAAGTGAAGTGACCTGCCTAAGGTTGCTCAGCTAGCAGGAGGCACAGCCTAGATTCCAGCCCAGGCAGTCTGACGCCACTGCCCATGCCCTTAACCCCTGAAACAGACCAACTCTCTTCCAAATGCATTTTCTAAGTTTGCTACTTGGCTTTCGATTTTGTCGTGTGTTTTATCCTGCAGAACTTTTAAATTTCTGTGTGGTCAAAATTTATCAATATTTCATTTCTTTGTTTCTGGGGCTTCCCACTCCAAGACTGCAAAGCGAACTCTTCCTTGGCGTCTTCCAGTCTTTCCATTTGATGAAGGGAGTGATGTATTAAATTAGCTTCAGTGTTTTGTTTTCAATGGCTATTCAATTCTTTCAACACTAGTCATTGAATACCATATATTTTTCTCTATAGATATTACATACTAAATTTTCATATGTATTTGAATCTACTTCTGGACTACTTATAGGATAAGGATTCTGTTGTCCCATTCAGAAACACAAATCGAGTTATTTTATTCTCCAAATTAAAACCTTTAAGTGATTCCCATGGGCCCATGTAAAAATACAGAGGGCTCACAGTCTTCTCTTAAAGTCAAGCAGATCTGAGTATCACTCTACCTACCTCCTGTGTGGCCTTTGGCAAGTAACTTAACCTCTCTGAGCCACATCTATAAGGAACATGGTTATTTTAAGGATTTGGCTTTGTGTAGGGAGGGAGTAAGGCATGTTCCAGGAACCAGACCACAATATAGCTTTGTGTGACCATGGAAATGCTCTGTGAATTGATGCTGCCCAGTAAAGTAGTCATGTCCAGGTGAAGCTACTTTTATTGAGGAACTAAAATTTTAATTTAAATAGTCACAAGTGACCAGTAGCTGCACATTCGATAGCTCAGATCTAGGTCCAGAGGGGGCGGGAGAAGGTATATGATAGAGGATAGACTGCAGAGGCCTCGTAGGTCTCATTAAGGACTTGAATCCTTATCCTATAATAATAGGATCAGTAATAGGAAACCACTAAAGGGCTTTCGACGAGAAAAGGAAAGTGACCAATAGATCTGAATTTTGAAAAAACTGCTCTTTAGAGGACAAAGGAGAATGTGGCAGATCAGTCGAGTGGCTGTTGCAGAGGGAGATGATGATCGCTTGGTGTAGGGGGAACACAGTGGAGAAAAACAGGCAGCTGCAAGGGACCTTTTGGGTTTAAAACCAGTACGCTGGAGTGACGGTTTGGTTATGAAGGGCGGAGCAGAGGAGGTGTCAGAATGATGCCCGGGTGTTCTGGCTTTCCTCACATGGGAGAGAGAAAACACCGGAAGAGGATCTGGAGGGAGATGAAGACTTGGCCGTGTTGAGACATCTGGTGATGGATATGAAGGTCTGGAGATGGATATGTGTAAGCCATTGGGTATTCGGGTAGGAACTGCTGAGGGAGGCTGGTGGGGAGCACAGACCACAAGAAAACACAAGGCAGACTTACATTTACTGGTTAAAGAAAAGAAGGTGAGCTTAGAGGAGAATGGCTGGAAAGGCCAGAGACACACCAGGAGACTGATTTTGCAAACGCTAACTTGTCCATTGCCACTTGGCTCACAAGTGGCAGAACTGGAATTTATACTCAAAGCCATACATCTATGCACAGTCTCCCATTTTGAACCAGAGACTCCTCACTAGCAACAGGATCAAATACTGACCTTGCTAAACACCAGCACACTGTCAAGGATGACGTGGAAACGCCCAAAGGCGTTACTAATCGACATCACTCCAAACGTTAGCTCTGGGAAGTCTTTGATCACATCAAAGAACAACTCTGCTGCTTCTTCTTCTAAATCCTGTTTGGGGAAGGACATTGGGTGAGGTTTTGGTAGAAAGCAAAACACATGGTTCATTTCAGGGCAAGGTGGAAATGGTGACCAATTTGTCTCCTTACTTTTCCAACTTCTGGAATTTTGCTGTGTCACCTAAGTCCCATTTTATGGATGTTTCATACCCAGAATACTTTTATGGCTATGATTAGGCTAAAATAGGCAAATCCACAGAGATGATGGAAAGAGTTGATAAACTTGACCTTTTCCAAGTATTAGAGTGGGTTGTAGCTTTCTGACATTTGTTCCTTAATTGTTTTCAGAAGGGGCGATTAATTTGACTACATATAGTGTCAAATACAAATTTGGTATCAAGATAGGGCGGTAGCGTTAGCCTTCATTCTTAAGCTTAGAAGAAAGGGGGGCTAGAAACACTGTCAGAAAGTCGGACGGGCAAGAGGTATGTCCGTCCTCTCCCCAGGCATAAACTTAATGCCAAAATGCTGACTTCACTGGAAGAAGGTGGAGTCATCAAAGTTACAGCACATGAGTTACGATGTTCAAGAACCCCATGCTCCAAAAGGGAAAACAATTTGCAAATTATTGATTATTCGGTGCTATTCTAAATCAACCCCAAAATGATCAGTTATACTATGAAAACCAACTCAACCTCCTCTCTTCACTCATCCTCCTATCGAATGAGCTTCTACTCTGTTCAGCATCCATTTCTTCCTTTCTTCGCTGTAAACCTGGTTCCCCCAGAAAACCAGCTCATTGCAAATGCAGAGCAGGCATGGACTCAACCCGAGGGCACGCCCCCCCCTCCCCCGCCTCCCCTCCGACACTGGACTCCTCGCCAACCGAAAAGCCACCTCCCACCTCTGGAGCTCAATACCTGGAAGAAGCCGATGATCACCAAGGGCCTGGTTTTCACAAACTCTGCCACCTGCTCGGTGTCGGTGAATAAAAATGCTTTCTGGCTAATTTGTCTTCTCAACCAGACGACCAAGGCAGCAGCTTCCACCACCCCTGGAGGGAGACAGGTACATGGACCCCAGAGGAGTTTTCTCTTCAGCGGTGTAATAAGCCTGTCTTTCCCAAGTTGTATGTTAGAAGCTTCCTACCTTGGGCTCACACCAAGCCATGGTCAGTTGTCCAGCACCCCCTCCCCCAGGCCCCAAGGCGCGAGCGTGAACAACAGCAGGCAAGCTGCACTGAGCACGCACCAGGGCCAGGCACTCACGTGACATCCCACCACCGTCCTGCTCTCGGCCTCAGATATCACTACTGTCCCCTTCCCTGCAGATGTGGACGCTGAACCTGCCAATGCCCACCTCCCGATCGAACCTGGGATCAAACTCAGGGGGAGCCAGCCCAGCCTTCTTTTCTTCTGCACCCTCCACAGTGACCGTAAGATTGATTTTTTTAAACTATAAATAAATAAAATGTAAATCAAAAGACTGGCTAGCTCCATGACCTTGGGAAAACTCCATCATAGCATCGTGTCTGCAGTTGTTCAGCCAAGACACAAATGTGTGCTAAGATGACAGGTCCTGACTTTCATTTCTCAGCTCCATGTGGGAGGTGCCAAACACAGAAACATCTTCGCTTCTGACAGTGTGAGATATGCACCCTCTCTGGGAGACGTCGTGGCGTGCCGGGCTCACACAGACACGTGTTTGCTGGGATCGTAATTTCACGTGATGGCGGATTATGAAAAGTATTTCATATCAAAGCCAGCTACAGAATAGAATGGCGCGTTTCAAATGAGTTCATGAGATGAAGCAATGCTGTTGTGAATAGCCCTGGGCTACATCCATAGGGCTTTATTCGTTCACTCACTCGTCAATCCTTTCGTCTTGCCATGGGATAGACATGCTGGGGTGTCTGCGAAGTTGTGCAAGGCCGTGCTTGCTCTTGGGGAAGGGTGTCGTGGTGAGCAGAAACACACACACTGCCTGGTCTGCCGCTCTCACTCTGCTAAGGACAGACAGTCATGACACCAACAAGTGTACACACACAACCAGGTAAGTATTTGAAAGCACATTCCGTGAGTCAAGGAGGGCTGTCTGGAGGAAACCGCTAAGAGCTGGGAACTGAGGGATGCGCGGGAAGTACACACATGGAGGGAAAGCTTCAGGCAGAGCGGACAGCCGTGCAAAGGCCCTGGCACAGGACACATGGCTCCTGGGCTTGGTGAATGCACACTCAGTGGTCGATCAACTGGAAAGGACTTTTCTTTTCCTGAAAAGGACTCATGCATTTTTTAAGAACTTTAGACCTTTAAAAAAAAAAAAATGTGCGCCCTGCTGGTGTGGCTCAGTGGTTGAGCATCGACCCTGCACCAAGAAATTACCGGTTTGATTCCCTGTCAGGGCACATGCCCAGGTTGTGGGCCCGATCCCCAGTTGGGGGCGTGCAGGAAGCCGCCAATCGATGTTCTCTCTTACGATGTTTCTGTCTCTCTCTCCCTCCCCTTTCCTCTTTCTCTAAAATCAATAAAGAAAAAAAGTTTCTTTTAATGTTCAATGCAGTATATTTACATGCAGAAAGGTACACAAATTATAATGAATCGTTTGATGAATTTTCACAAAATGAACACACCTGAGTCACTACCACCCAGATCAAGAAATGGGACATTACCAGTCGCTGGCAAGTCCCAGTGCACCCTGCCGGCCCTGCCCGGCCCTCCCACCGGGGTAAGTCTCTCCTGAGTTCCCACAGCCTGTTTCAGTCTGCGACTGAAATGTCGTATGAACCACGCAGTGTGCAGTTCAGTCCAGGTTCGGCCATGCCTGAGAGGTCCCCGTGCTGCCTGTACTTGTAGGCACGTGCACACGCCGCTCAGCCCCCTGGTGGGTGACTGGTCCACAGCTGACGAGCCCCCTCTCGCCGGCGCACTCGGGCTGTTTCCAGCCTGAGCTCCACCCTCCGGAGGACGCAGAACTCTGTCCGGGCAGCACCGGGCTCTGGGCAGCACCGGGCTCCAGGCGGCACTGGGCTCGGGGCGGCATAGTGCTCTGGTGGCACTTGGCTCGAGGCGGCACCAGGCACCAGGCTATGGACGGCACTGGGCTACGGGCAACACCGGGCTATGGGTGGCACCAGGCTCAGGGAGGAACCGGGCTCGAGGTGGAACTGGGCTCCTGGCGGCACCGGGCTCCGGGCGGCACCGGGCTCCGGGCGGCACAGTGCTCTGGGGGCACTTGGCTCAAGGCAGCACCGGGCTCTGGGCGGCACCGGGCTCTGGGCAGCACCGGGCTCAGGGCGGCACCGGGCTCGGCTCCGTGGACGCCCGTGGGACATGCTAAATGCCACAGGGGCAGGCCTATGGAAGTTCATAGAAGAAGGATGTGGTGATTTCAAGGGAAAGAGAGGGCGGGCGAGGCTTCCTGACACCCCAGCTCACTGCAGTCACCCCCACCTCGTGGATTTACACCCAGGTTGAGGGTATAATTTTACGGTGTTCTGAGCCATTTCTCGGAGGAAAACAGGCACCTATCACGGAAACAAACTTTCTCTTAAAGGCTTTTACTTGAAAAAATTATGCTGTAAGTGCCCTGAAAGGCATGGGTTTAAAAGTTCTGAAAATACCGAAAGAGGGGGACAGTCACCTGTGAGCAGGTTTAACTCTCAGATCCTCAGATCGGCCGCTCTGATGGCACTCTGCCCGCTGTCCGACTCCAGCCCATGCCAGGCACACCAGGCTTGACCTGTGCCAGGCCCTGGCTGTCCTCAGCTGTCAGGGCACTTTCCTGCTTGTTCAGTTCTGGGGGGGTCTTTCCTTCCACCAGCACCCCACCATCTTTCTCTAGTTCATGACCTGTTGTATTTTCTTCATTGAATCTATCTCTTCCCAAAATGCTGATGTTTGACCGACTTGCTCAGTAGCTCCTGTGGCTTCTGGCTCACACTGGTGCCCAAGAAGTCATTGTGGAGCGAATGAATGAGGTGGGTCAATCACCAGAGAAGCTGGCTTGGGGGACCCTGCCTTGGGCCCCCCTCTCTGGGACATGTGAGCCTCTTTTGCCCCTCTGGACCCCATGGGACCGAGGTAGCTCTGAACTTGGCTAACAGTCCCTTTCCGAGTGTCTGTGAGCCAGGGACTGTCCCCGCTGGGCAGGCGCCTGAGCCAGGGGCCTGGTGAGGTGTGAACGCTGAGTCAGACTGACGGGCTGCCACTCTGTGCACATTCCTGGGCATGGCTGCAAATGCATGATCAATGGAGGCCCTGGAGGCAACTTGAGTCCCCTCCCTCCAGGAGACAGCCACGGCAAGTCTTATTCAATCCCTGACAGCAAGACGTGTGGTCTCGGGCTTTGACCCAACAAGAACTACACCTCACCTGCCTCCTACAGAGGTTTTCATAAAAGTCCACTGTCACCCTTCTCAGCTCCGAGGAGCCCAGTCAAGTCGGCAGGACCGGCACCCGCTGTTCATCCCGTTTTAGGAAATGAGAAATTGAAAGGCTGGGTTAAATTCCCAAAGCTAGTGCTTCTCCTAAAATCCAGGCCAGGCTCCAAGCCAGCATCCCACTGCCTCCTTTTCTGGTTGAGGGGTGATACTGAGGAAAACAGAGAATGGGAAGCCCAGCAAAATTAGGGGCTGGCGCCTCACCCCAAGCTGCCTCTGGCCGCAGGCTTTGCCATTTCATTCCACGTAAACTCAGTAACTACACTTTAAGAAACAAAGTATTGACAGCTACATGCAAAAAAATGCAAAAAAAATGAAGCTAGACCACCAACTTACACCATACACAAGAATAAACTCAAAATGAATAGAAGACTTAAATGTGACTTGTGAATCCATAAAAATCCTAGAACAAAATGCAGGCAACAAAATTTCAGACATCACACACAGCAGAATTTTCACTAATACAACGCCTAAGACAAGAGAAACAAAGAAAAAATTGAACACATGGGACTACATCAAACTCAAAAGTTTCTGCACAGCCAAAGAAACAACCACCAAAATGGAAAAGGAACCCACTCTATGGGAGAGCATAATTGCCAATGATACATCAGATAAGGGGTTAATTTTCAAAAATATAGAGTGCTCATACAACTCAACAAAAGGAAGACAAAGAACCCAATTTAAAAATGGGCAGAGGAACTAAATAGACACTTCTCCAAACAGAACATACAAATGGTCAAGAAATATATTTAAAAATGCTTAACGTCACTAATCATCAGAGAGATGCAAATTAAAACAACAATGAGGGCCCTGGCCGGTTTGACTCAGCAGTTAGAGCGTCGGACCACAGACTGGAGAGTCCCTGGTTCGCTTCCCACTAAGGGCACGTACCTCGGTTGCAGTTTGTCCCCGGCCCTGGTTGGGGTCGTGTGGATGGCAACCACTCGATGTGTCTCTCTCACATCGATGTTTCTCTTTCCCTCCCGCTCTATTCTGAGAACTGCAACGCATCCTACCGCCCCTGCAGGTGGCAGCACTCTCTGAGTTCTCGCAAGAATTCTCAAACAGGCTTACCGCAGACCTACTGAACACCCGGCCTTGCAAAAACAATCTTCGTTTCCTGAGATCCAGTCATTCTGCACACACACAATGGGAACATTCCACCACCATGGTTCAGTCTGTTCCGCGCTCCTCCGCGCTCAGCGTGCAGTCCACCCGTCTACCCACTGTGCATGCATTTATGCAGTTAACATTTTTTAAAAAACCTACCATGTACCACACTGAGGCACATACTTCTTCAAGTATTGTCAGCATCAAGATAGGGCTTGATATATGGTAGGTTCTCAATAAAAGAGCATTGGATAAGTGAATGTCTGAGTTAATGAATGAAATAGATGATGATGGAGGCACGAGTTAGGTAGTCACTGTGTCCCAAGCCCATCTTGCTCTATCATCTCTCAGTCGCCCTCTTGGAAGCCAATGATTCCTTGGCCTGAGACCAAAATGACTCTAAAATTATTCTGGAGTAGAAGACTGAGATGGAAGGAAACGGTGAAGTTAGGAATTCACTCTCTGGTCTCTGGTGGTTTATAGACCATGCACCTCACTCCCCCACCTCATGGTGCTTCTAGGACCCACCAGCTGAGACGCAAGCTGTAGAGAGATGTAGCTACATGCTCTCCAGAATTTGCTTTCTTTTCCTCTGAACATGTACTTTTCAGCCTGTCAATGGTGCAGGCATGTAATGGAATTTTGGTCAACGGAACGAGAGCAGAGGTGGCGTTTGCCATGTCCAGGCCTGGGTGGTGAACACCACCAGTGAGGGTCCTCTGCCTCCTTGCCCCCATTATGGCAGGATGCAGAGGAAACGGCGGTGGTTCAGAGGCCCTAAGGGAAGACAGAGCCACAAGCTGGAAGGAGCCTGGGTCTTTGAAAGACAAGGAGCAGAGGCCCCCACCTTTACTCTCTGGCTGCCAACAGGGCTCTACACGAGCAATAACTGAATTTATAATTCTGTTAAACCACTAAGATGCTGGTGTGTAAGAGTTTCTATAGCTAACATCACCTTGACTGACACACAGACACCATTACCTTCACAGTTGATGGGCTCTGTCCTGTTGCCCTCAAAAAACAGCTTCAACTCTGGGGCCTTCTCAATGTCAAACTCTTTGCAAAGTTCCTTCTCGACCGTGATGTCCACTCTGCCGAAGCCGACCCCATTCTTGTTTTTGCCCACGATCTCCACGGCTTTGCCCAGCTCCTTGGCCAGCTTCCTGGACTGCTTGGAGGATGGGTTGTCTGAAAGGGCCAATGCGAAGCAGAACTCAATGTGGTCACTTAGCTGCTGGGCCTTTCCCACGCTCTGCCGATACCGGGCAAACTTTCAGAAAGGTGACACATGTCTCCTGAAGTTGGCCCGTTGGGAAGAGACACATCAAGGTTTGGGAAAAGGGGTTTTCAGCATCACTGCAAACAATACAGCTTTGGGCAACTTAGTCTCTCTAAGCTCCACTTCCCCAAGGGGGAGACAGCGGCTGCCGCTCAGAGTTGGCACCATCAGAGGCCTTTTAACAATCAGTTACACAGGACTTCCTGTTTCTCAGCTTTCCCATGAGGTAGGTATTAGTATCTCAATAAATATGTTATATGTTATAATATATAAAAATATGCATTTTAATATGTTACATATTATAATATACATATATAATAGCTACTGTTATTATTGCTGTAAAATTTCTATGGTCAGAAAGTACAGGGAAGTGGCAGGGAGACAGAAGGAGAGAGTAAGAGCGCCATCTGGTGGAAAGTCCTAGAGCCAACAGGCCAAATTAGGCCCCAGCAGCCCTGTGGCTGATAAAACAGGGCAGGGGACTCTTGGGTAAGAAAGGCAGGGAGAGGGGAAGGTGGGTACAGGGACAGTTTACGATGCACAGGGATAGTTTATAATGCTCCCCTACCCCTCAGAGACTTCACACTCTGGCCCTGGCCGGTTTGGCTCAGCAGTTAGAGCATCGGACCAGAGAGTCCCAGGTTCGGTTCCCGCTAAGGGCACGGACCTTGGTTGTAGTTTGTCCCCAGCCCCAGTTGGGGTCGTGTGGGTGGCAGCCAGTCCAGTGTCTCTCACATCCACATCGATGTCTCTCCCGCTCTCTCTCCCTTCTTTTCTCCCTCCCGCTCTATCTGAAGAAATGTCCTCAGATGAGGATAAAAAACAAGACCTCACAGTCTGGCTTATGGTTTGCACGGTGAGATGGTTCCTGGACCAGGGACCATCATAGGGAACAGAGATATAGAATCTATGTTGTACACCTGACACTAATGTGATATAGCAGGCCAACTACACGTTAGTAAAACGTTTGAATACTTAAAATGCCTTGGCTCGTCACATTGCTGGGCAGTGGGTGGGGTGGGGTGAGAGCCCTTCTCTAGAAATAGCCTCAGGGAGAGGGCGGGTGGTCCTGGGAGCCTGTGGGGTCTTCCTGGCCTGAGGGACGAGGACTAGAGGGCAATCTGGTTTGCTTTTCTTCCTTCTGATAACATTGTGCACCTGACAACACCTGGCCCTCACCACCTGACATCTGTGGCAGGTGGACTGAGCCAGGGCAGGGGCTCATCTGACTTTTCCAGCCAGAACACTTGATCATTTTCAAACACCTTGTCCATCTGGAGCCCTTCACTGCCAAGAACCAGTTTCAAGTTCAACAGAGAGGTTGTTTATAAAGCAAAACACAGAAAGCCAGGCCTGGGACAGCGGGCATGTGCCATGGCCAGTCAGCTCCTGCTCCCGCAATGCGACCTGACCGATGAATGGGAAGTGGGACTTCTGCTCCCTCACAGACCTTGGCTCATCACTGCCTTCCGCACCCCGTCCGTCACTGCCAGCTGCACCGCCTGCGGGCCCTCCCGCCTCCTGGTAACTCGGTGGTGCCTGGCTCGGGACTGTTGACTGACTTAGTTTGCAAACCTGAGTGTCTACGGGAAGCAGCTCAGGGCAAGAGAAACACATGGAACGACTGTGCAAATGGTGGAGCATTGAGAGTTCCACAGCTCTGCTCCCAGCTGGAAGGCTAAAGGAAAGGACCCGCTGGCTGTCATAATGGGGAGGTGCCCATCTAGCCAGCAAGCAGATGTGTTTTAGGATCTGCCCTGTGCCAGGCACTGCCCTAGGTACTGAAGATTGAACAGTGAACAGATAAAAATCCCTGCCCTCACTGGAGAAGGCAGAAAGCAAACAAAATGAAGAAGCAGGAAATATTCTGTTTGATGCTCAGTGTGGTGGAGATAGAAGCAGAGCTAGAGATGCCGAGCGCCAGGGGTCTTGAATCTACGTGAGTCTAAAAGGAGGCCTCCCTGAGAAGGGAGGTAAGAAAGCAAGTTATGTGGGTGTCTGAAGGGAAGTGTTCTAGGCAGAGGAACAGCTGTGCAAAGGCCCTGGGGTAGGGCCTTACAGGACACTGAACAGACTTTGGCCTTTCCTCTAAGGGTTTTGGAAGGTGCCAAAGGGTTTGGGGCAGGGTGAGATGTGGGTTGACTTCCTTTTTACCTGGATTTTTCTGAATGTTATGTGTAGATTGAACTGAAGGGCGAGTGGATCCAGGGAGACCAGCTGGAAACACTGTAGGAACCCAGGGGAGAGATGGTATTGGCTTGAACTAGGGGAGTAGCCATGGAGGGGGAGACATGGTCAGAACTGGAGATACTGTGGAGGAGTTGCCTGGATTTTGTGACAGATAGGACATGGGATGTGAGTGAGAGGAATCCAGAGGACTCTGAGGTTTTTTACCTGAGCCACCAGAAGGATAATGATGGTGATGGTGATGGTGATGGTGATGGTGATGGTGATGATAGTGATAGTGATGGTGGTGGTGGTGATGGTGATGGTGGTGGTGATGGTGGTGATGGTGGTGGTGGTGATGGTGATGGTGGTGGTGGTGGTGGTGATGGTGGTGATGGTGATGGTGATGGTAGTGATAGTGATAGTGATGGTGGTGGTGGTGATGGTGGTGATAGTGATGGTGATGGTGGTGGTGTTGGTGGTGATGGTGGTGGTGGTGATGGTGATGGTGATGGTGATGGTGGTGATAGTGATAGTGATGGTGGTGATGGTGGTGATGATGGTGGTGGTGATGGTGGTGGTGGTGGTGGTGATGGTGATGGTGATGATGGTGATGGTGGTGGTGGTGGTGATGGTGGTGATGGTGATGGTGGTGGTGATGGTGGTGGTGGTGGTGATGGTGATGATGGTGATGGTGGTGGTGGTGGTGGTGATGATGGTGGTGGTAGTGGTGGTGATAGTGATGATGGTGGTGGTGGTGGTGGTGATGGTGGTGATGGTGATGGTGGTGGTGGTGGTGGTCGTGACAGTGGTGGTGGTGGTGGTGATGATCAGGTTAGCTCATACAACAGTTACGATGATGTACAGTAGCTGAGGCCCAGGTAAGATGTTTTTTAAAACATCTTTGTGCCTCAGTTTCTTTATCTATAGAATGGGAAATTAATAAATCCTATACCTGAGGATGATCCTACATAGTAAGAAAAGCTTTAGCACAGAAGTGCCCAATAAAAGCGAGCCATTGTGACGACGCAGATGGGCAGACTTTGGCCTTGCTCTGGCAGGGTTCGCTCTGGGAAGGGGTTCCTATGGAGAGATCTGAATCCTCAGCAGATCTTCTGGCTCCTGGATAAAGGTCAACAAGGGTAACCAGCATCAAGTCCCCCAATCCAAGGCTTCGGCCTCCCATGTGGCTGTCACTGGGTTTGGGGTAAGCATATGAGAACAGGCTGTGGTTCTCTGTCTGCACATAGATATGTCTTTGGGTAACGGACCCGGAGTCAGTGTTTGCCTGGGTCTTTAGTAGACAGCCCTTTTCTGAGCAGCCTGTGGGAGTGATGGACGGGAGGGGCTGAGTGCCGGGGCCGCAGATTGGCTCCTGTCATGGGAAGCTGAAGTAGGCCTCTCTTTAGACTGTGCTTCTCCATGGGGAACACCTGGCCACATCTGGAGACATTTCTGGTTGTGGCAACTGGAGGGCTACTGGCCTCTACTGGGCAGAGACAGGGGCCAATGTTAAACATCCCACAATGCACAGAGATGACCCCTGCCCCCCATACACACAACAAAGCATTATCTAGCAAAAGTGTCAGTATTGCTGAGGACGGGAAACCCTATTTTAAACCATGCTCCAGATCAAGCATGCAAAAGTATTCTGAGAATAACCGTCTTTCCATCCCATCGGGCCATTTACAGTGTGCAAGGTGCTCACAGGTGGTAAGGGTTTCAGGATGGTCATCACCCCTTCTAGCTCCTCAGAGCTCAGCCCACAAAGTCCTCTGACCATTGCAAGGGCCTATGAGGCCTGCTCTGCTGTTCATTCTCAGCCACGCGGCACATTCAGGCCTCAGGGACCCTGCACTTGCTGTCTCTGCTGCCTGAAGTCTGTCCTCCCAGGTATCTGCGTGGGCGGCTGCCTCACTGCTTCATGGCCACCTTCTCAGGAAGGTCTTCTCTTCCCTCTTTGCCTCATTAGTGGAGAACATCATGGGCCAAAGGAAAGTTTATTCATTTGTTTTTCCAAGCACTATGCTAGATGTTAGGAATGACAAGAGGAATAAAATTTGGTCCCTATCCCCCAGGGAGCACAGATGTTTAAGGCAGTGTTAATACAGTATAGCAAATGCTGTGGAAGGGTGGAGGCAGAGGGCTGTGAGCCCACAGGAGGGGGAGGGGGGCAGAGGGCTGTGAGCCCACAGGAGGGAGGGGGGGGGCAGAGGGCTGTGAGCCCACAGGAGGGAGGGGGGTGGGGGCAGAGGGCTGTGAGCCCACAGGAGGGGGAGGGGGAGGGGGCAGAGGGCTGTGAGCCCACAGGAGGGGGAGGGGGGGCAGAGGGCTGTGAGCCCACAGGAGGGGGAGGGGGGGCAGAGGGCTGTGAGCCCACAGGAGGTAAGGATAGTCATTCTAGGGAAGAGTGAGGTGAACACAGCCTCCAACAGGTGATCCCATGAGCTAAGCCCCAGGGCCCCAATGAAGATGTGTAGAGAGCACAGGACAGGGAGAGGCAACAGCAGTGCAGAGGCCCAGGGGCCTGCCTGCAACCCCAGCAACTCCGGGTCTGGAGAGGACTGGGCCTCGGCCTTGGCTGGGTCACGCAGAGAACGTGGTACCTACATGAAGGAGTTTGGGGTGTTCCAGAGCCTTTACGTTTTCTTAATCAGATTTGCATTTTAGAAAAAACAATGTGTCTGTGTCCCCTGTAGGGACAACGCTGGAGGGAGAAAGGAGACCGTCCAGGAAGGTGCGG